CCATTTGTCAGCCAAATACTTATAAATCAAACTTTTTAGTGATCGAATGTTCCATTTGGCGAAAGCGGACTTTTTTCACTCTCTGTTTTGTATGTTTTGATGCCCTTTTCCTCACATAAAGTTTTGAATGACACCTTGAACTCTGTGCCTCTATCTACCCAGATTTTTTGTGGCTGTTTTTTTTTATCATTTGTTTGAATGCTTCCGCAGTTGAAGTAGCATACTCTGATTTCAATGACTGTACACGTAGATAACGGGACATGCAATCCACTGCAACCATAAGATAATTGATGTTTTTGTTGTAATCTGCAAGTTCATCAACATACACTAGGTCAATTGACCATATTTCGTCTGTCATAAACTATCACTTTGAGGCGTGGTGTTTTGCGACGAACTGTTCGATATTTTGTATATGCAGGCTCTGTATGTAAAAAATGTTTCACTTTACTTCGTGAAATTTTTCATTCCTCCTTTAAGTTTTGTACACTGCCAAACAATGCTGGACCTTTACTTGTAAATTTAGTTTACAATCGGTTTTCTTCAGCTGGTGTAACCTTGCTATTTTTTTGTTTTGTTTTCGTCTTCTCTGTCATTGCAGAATCTGAATCGTTATCGGGCGATCCGTAAAATCCAGAGTCTTCTTCTTCTGCGCCTTCTTCTCCTTTGGTTTTTTGCGCTGATCGTTCTTTCACTGTCTGCAACAGTCCTTCTGGTTTTGCGTCTTTTAATGCTTTTTGAGCTGGAACTTGTTGACGACGGTTTCTTGGCAGAAAGGAGATCTGAGATATTGAAGGGGAATTTGTGGAACCTCTGCTTCTTTGCCTCTGTTGAGCTTGTTCCTTAGTCGTTGACTGAACCGCGACTTTGGCATACTTGTTCATAACCAACTATTCGTCAAGTTTGAGAGACCTCAAAATCAGTATGAAAGCAGGGTTGTACAATTTTTTAGTTTGCTGTTGTATATCAGACAAAAAAACTGAAGCCTTAAGACCGGTTGGAACTTTATCAACGTAAAGCTGTTCATTTTATTTGTTTATTGTGACTCGCTCTGACTTTTTAATAATTTCCAGAACTTTTTTTGCTCGTTTAAGTTTGTTTTCGTCCATGAGTTGTAATTGTAACGTAATACGTTCAGTGGATAAAGCGTCATTAAGCTCAGTACGTGTTCCCAGCTCATTTCCCTCATCTTCAGTGAGAAGGAGAGCTTGTTCTTGTTGACTGTTGTCTGCTGTGGCATTGATAAGTGTTTCGGGGGTTGGTATACCCGGAGGATTAGTTGTGCTGTTGCTTTTAGGGGTCTTAATCGATTCAAGTATGATAGTTGCGGTTTTTTATGTTTGAGTGAGTTGTCAAGCAAAATTTGCGCTGCATGGGGTTGTTCTCTAATATAAATATGCTTCGGAATCAGAACAAACTGTTATACTGAGTAAACAAGGATTTTATCTAATCAGACATATACTTCATTTTTGCTTCAAATATTTGACAGCTTAAAAATGACAGCACAAGAGTTTGCTCTGATTCCGAAGCATATTTATGTCTGATTAGATAAAATCCTTGTTTACTCAGTATAACAGCTGATTTTTTTGTCGAGATTCGTTTTTGGATTGAGGAGAATCCTATATATTTCTTCGAAATTATTAAGATTTGGAGTACTAACAGGCACATTACCGTTGACTACATTGAGCAAGCATTCGCAAACGACTGATATAACTTGAGTATTTGATGATTATCTAGTAAAGCTCGGTATTTAACTTGGATTCAATTGTACCATGTGTTGCAGAATGGATGATTTTTCGCGTTCATTTGTGATGGGTGATGCCTTATCTAATGGTAAATAGAAAATTGACGGACCAGGTGTTATTATGTTTGAACAGTATCTCAGACAGTCTGATGTTCGGGGATCTAAGTCTATTAATAGATGTCCAAAGCTGTTTTTGGTAGCCAGTTCATACGATTGTCGTAAAAATTTAGGTGCATTAAGTTGTCTTCCGAGGTGATCAAGTTGCTGAATATCACGAGATGATTTGAATAAAATTATGTGAGATGTGTTCAAATCAATAGTTCGTGACCATCGACTTTGTTGGAATGAATTATGTTTGACATAAATAACATCTAAGCCTTTGTGTCTTCCTGCTGTTGCTAGTTTAACGAATTCTTCATCATTGTATATTTCTTCGCATGAGTCATCAAACACTAACAGAATGTTTTCAATGTTTCTCAAACGATCGAATCCATCAAATTTGACAAATTCGATTTGAATTCTGCCAGCGTTCCTCGTCCCTAAGTATAGGTTGAATATCTTTGTAAAAAAATAATACTCTTCCAAATTTTGGATAAAAAGTTCTCACTTTCAATAATTTGAAAATTAATTCTGTTTTTCCTGATCCCGAAGGTCCTACAACTGCCATAAACAGTCTTGTCGACATATCAATAATTCTATTTGTATCCTTGGGTTTGGTAACTCGTACCCAACTAAACCAGACAATATGGAAAACCAAACTGATGTTTCTTCACAGCTTAGTTGCATCAAAGAAAGTTTATAGATACAAAAGCATAGTAAAATTAAAATTATAATAATTTGATACATAAAAACTACTTCTGATCTGGGAACAGTGGCATCAAAACAAAATTTCCAAGATTTTTGTTCGGTGTTATTTCGATCATAAACAAAATCAGTAACTATATTTGCATCAGGCTCATCATCTGCTATTTCAGACATTCACGTTTTCAATTTTTTTTCTCTCTCTCTCTGACTATCTATCTATATCAACCGTTTCTTATTGAGGAAGAAAAATGTGTGGTTATGAAATTTATTATTTGATTTTCTGAACAGTAAAAAATCTCGTATCGATTATAACCAGTGTAAACATTAGTAGTATCATTTTCATTGTCATACATTTCCACTACATAATTGGCTGGGACATTCTTAGTTTTCACATGATATATGATTTTCTTCACTGAGTTTTCTTGTACTAATTTCTGAACTTCCTCAGGTTAATCACTGCTGCTGAGGTCCATTTGAACTCCGGGCTGACATTTGGGTACTAAGACTAGCTTGGGAACTTAAACTCCTCGTTTACTGGCTAACATTTTGAATAAACTTGAATCGTTGAAAGTAGATAAATTGGTCAATCACCGGGAAAAACCTTCTCAAAATAGTTAATTCCTCTTCATATGAAGTGATTTGTTCTTTTCGCTGCACCACTTGACCTCGGCAATCGATTCGTTCTGCTCTTGTTAATGATATTTTGATGTCACTCTCTGGATTCATCCAAGCACATAACACTGAATTTGGAGATAGGGTCGTCTCCAGCTTCGCTAGTCTCTCGCTGTTGCTCATTTTTCAGCCAATAAAAAAACGCCTTGCTTTTCTTCAGGGCGCAGTGATTCATGGAGTGGTTATGATGTGAAATAAATCTCACAGTCAAATTAATCTCGTGAATGATTTCCAAGTCCGTTGAAGTAACTCTACCTTTTTTCCAATTTCATTTTTATTTTTTTTCCAACACCTCGCGGACCTGCTGAATTTCAAGCCAGTGGAAGTGAAAGTGACCTTGCAGATACCACTTACTCAGTCCTATATCTCGGTGGTAGATATTTAGATAGATCACTGGAAGTTTTTGATATTTTGAAAATTTATCAAAACAAAGTCGAATCATTCGCTCCACCCCTTTCTCAATCATCATAGAGTCAAAATCGAATGAGTAATTAAATCGGTTTTCATATGTAGCAATGATTACATCAATAGCCCTACCATTTTTCTGTTTTGTATAAACGCACCACGTTATTTGTAAGAGCTCATTCAAATAAAACAGAGCTGTTTACAACTCTGCTAATATACTTCTGGTGCTTTATCTGCTATTTTTTTCCACCGTGATATGAAAACTATATAACGGTCGTTAATACAACTGTTTTTTGATCGGGTACCAGTTGAGAAGACAGAGAAACTTAAATGCTCACTATCAATATCTTCAGTATGCCAATCTCGAATTAAAATCATTTTGCTCAATTCGTTATTCCATAATTTCAGCATTATTTTTATTGTTCATTTATGTCATGACACCGGACTGTCAGCCGCTCTTCAAACTTCGTGAGTGTTTCAGATTGCTAAGCGTTGGTTCAACAATAAAAGATGCATACGGAAAAGAAATGGTTTACAGCTACCAACGGTTTAAATATTTTTGGCTATAACTTTTACGTTAACTTTAATTCCACTCAAATATGAACGTTATAGTCTTGATCGAACGTTAACGCATGAAAATGCAGTCCCCAGACATACTTTTTTTATTATATATCACAACAGCAGTGACTTATTATAATATAGTCATTTCATAGCACTTAGAATACAATACATGTAGTTTTATTTTCCTATTTGGAGTGCCCCTGTGGTTTGAAAAGTTTGTTTGGAGCCCCTATGTGGTTTTGGAATTAGGGTCTTGAGCACCGAGAAATTTTGTCTGGAGCGCCTATGTGGTTTTGGGATAAGGCTCTGGAGCACCCCTGTGTAGGTTTCCCCCTGCTAAACCCCCCCCCCCCCTGTTGGAGCGCCGGCGAATTACCTTACTACTACAAATTCTAAAAACAATGAAAAATTTTTTTTCCTGATAGTGAAAGAAGCATGCATAGCCAGAGTAGGCGTTTGTGGGCTATATGGCCCCGTTGTCTATCCTCTCCGAGTCTCATTTTGATACTTACTAATAACGATGAATTGCTAAATTTATGTAATAAATGACCGGAGAAATTTGTTCTTTCTTTCTTTCCCGAACCTTAAGAGCTTTCAAGCGCAAATTGCAGTATTGCTTCTGTATCAAACTGTCTGTTAGCTATGTTCTCTTGTTGAGTAGATTTAACTAATAAAGGGCCAATCATTGAAATTTATTGAAGCTTGATAAATTTTTAATTGATATAATTTGAGTTCGTAAACAAAGAAAAAGGTAAATCGTATAATATTTGAAAAGCGGTTCAGTAATATTTTTAACGACTTCGTTTCTTTGTTTCAGCTTCAATTTCAGAAGAATTGCCGATGTTTGTATTGAAACTACGGGATTTACCGCGTTCTCCGCAATCCGCTGGGTCGCTGCTTGGATTCAAAGACCTTTCCTCTGCTCGTAGAGGTATGTTTAGACAATCCGAGGTTAATTTAGATTTTGAACCAACTTCATCACTTAAGACAATTTGGACAGCCGCAAGTAGCAACAAACTATGTCTGAAGCTACAGGACTTGTGGGTTATTGCAAGGGTTCATTGTTTTCAGGTTTTGGTGGAAGTCTTTTTGATGCCCCCTCAGAATCATCATCTAGAGAGCCGCTACGTGGTAGGTATCAGCCACTTTCTGGATGTCGTGTTGCTACGGGTGAACCACCATTAATGGGAACATCTATGGCACCGCCACAGCCACCAATTTATGAAGGAGGTCCTTTTGGTGCCCCCTCACAACCTTCCTCTGGAGCACCGCTATTTGGGGGACCTCCGCCACCTCCTGGAGGCGGTCTTTTTGGTGCCCCCTCACAACCATCTTCTAGCGCGCGCCTATTTGGGGGACCTCCGCCACCTCCACCTCCTGGTGGAGGTCTTTTTGGTGCTTCCTCACAACCATCCTCTGGCGCGCGGCTATTTGGGGGACCTCCGACACCTCCTGGAGGAGGTCTTTTTGGTGCCCCCTCACAACCATCCTCTGGCGCGCGGCTATTTGGGGGACCTCCGCAACCTCCTGGAGGAAGTCTTTTTGGTGCCCCCTCACAACCATCCTCTGGCGCGCGGCTATTTGGGGGACCTCCGCCACCTCCTGGAGGAGGTCTTTTTGGTGCCCCCTCACAACCATCATCTAGCGCTCGGCTATTTGGGGGACCTCCGCCACCTCCTGGTGGAGGTCTTTTTGGTGCCCCCTCACAACCAGCCTCTGGAGCGCCGCTAATTGGGGGACATCTGCCACCTCCTGGAGGAAGTCTTTTTGGTGCCCCCGCACAACCATCATCTAGCGCTCGGCTATTTGGGGGACCTCCGCCACCTCCTGGAGGAGGTATTTTTGGTGCCCCCTCACAACCATCTTCTAGCGCGCGCCTATTTGGGGGACCTCCGCCACCTCCACCTCCTGGTGGAGGTCTTTTTGGTGCCCCCTCACAACCATCCTCTGGCGCGCGGCTATTTGGGGGACCTCCGCCACCTCCTGGAGGAGGTCTTTTTGGTGCCCCCTCACAACCATCTTCTAGCGCGCGCCTATTTGGGGGACCTCCGCCACCTCCACCTCCTGGTGGAGGTCTTTTTGGTGCTTCCTCACAACCATCCTCTGGCGCGCGGCTATTTGGGGGACCTCCGCCACCTCCTGGAGGAGGTCTTTTTGGTGCCCCCTCACAACCATCCTCTGGCGCGCGGCTATTTGGGGGACCCCCGCAACCTCCTGGAGAAGGTCTTTTTAGTGCCCCCTCACAACCAGCCTCTGGAGCGCCGCTATTTGGGGGACCTCGGCCACCTCCTGCTGGAGGTATTTTCGGTTCTGCTCCTCGGCCGCCATCTCTGTTGTTAATGCCCATATCTCCGCCACTTTCCCCCTCTTCTCCTATTCTATTTGACGACTGTTGTTTTTCAGGTATTTTAAGATCTGAATTTTGAAATGATCCATAAAAAATAATACGAAATATTAAAATTTACTGGGAATACTACTGCTTGTTTCAGATGAAAAAGAAAATATTTTGTTAAATATGGTCGCTGAAAGTTTCATATGTTTGAGAAAAATTTAAAAATTTCGTTAAACATGCTCGTAAAATTAATCACACTGTTGGAGGAAGTAAGTATTTCAAAAACCTGATTTTTTCCATTCCGAAATTTCAGTGTACCATATGCATTTTCTCATAGTTGTAAGTCTAAATCACGATTCTAGAGTGTCACGATGCTGAGCAGGCTTTCTAACGAGGTCTAAATGGGCAATGCCAATAAAATGTTTTTTTTTTAAATATGATTGTTGTGTTTTACTCAGACAAATGTTTTTCAGCGTTTGCACACAGCAGAATAGAGCAAGAGAAATCGGATCTTTTGCCGATGCCGCTAAGTTCTGATTCCGCCCTTCTGCTAAAGCCTGAATCGTATAAAGCGAAAGTTTCTGCAAAAAAACATGTCCTAAATAGTTCGAAGCAACAGTCAACGCAAGATTTAGTATGTATGTCAAGTGAGGAAGAACAAGCGTATTCTGCTCCAATCTTGCGCCAATCTAAAGGACTTGTGAAGTCTTCAGATGACGCTGCTGATAGTTTTTATACAATGCTAAATACATCTGTTCGAAGTGAATTAATCGAAAGAAAAAGAGGAAAAGGAAATCGAATTGCTACTACATTAGAAAAACCTCCTTTGCCTGAAGATGGGGATTCTTTTACTAATATATCTACATATGAACCTGAAGAGATGCAAGATGAAATGTTCTCGACTCAATATGGTGAGTTGGGTCAATATTTATCTTAATCAGCAGCGAAAAAAAAACAACTGATCACTGGTTGTCAACATTTTTGCTTGAAGTCAATTTGTTCCTCGCGACATGGTATCGAACCATACTTATTGCATGGGATCAATTTTTTTCTCTGGCATAACATTATTTCCAGGGGAATATCTACAGTTTTCTCGGGTGATTCTCTAGAAAACGTGAAAAAGTTTTTCATTCAAGTTTTGTCGACCTTTAAAACAAATCAATTAAGAAATCGGATATATTTGATTAACTTCGCAAAAAAATGTATTGTTTTACCATGCAAGCCAAAACACAAAAGATCAGCGACAGAGCATGATCTGCGTTGTTTTTTTTAAATGTTTTCATTAGATGAAAGAAAAAAGATGATACAAAAAATTGTTGAAAATACTGTCAAAATAGATTCAAAATATTACCCAATTTAAGATTTTTATTAGAATATATACTATATTTTTAGTCTGGAAAGTAACAAGTAATTCGGCATAAAATGCGTACTGACTTCTCTTGTGAAAAGCACATGGATTTTGCAAGGGGTTGCGTTAAATTTTGTCAATTTTTCATAAAGCCCATTTGTTTTTGTTTCAGATTTAATTTATTCAGAAAAGATGACAGAGAGGAGCTGTGTGCCAATGATGGATTCGTCAATGATGAAAGTTAGTGGATGTTTTTAAAATCTATGCCATGAATGACTCAAAAGTTATCTGGTGTTCTCATTCCCATTGGACGCTTAAATGTAAATTTTCTTTTCAACCTTCTTTTATCCCATAGAAAGCATCCGATTTTCTGAAACATGTCTGAGTAATTAAATGTGAATGACTAATGCTGCTCCGATTTTTCTAAACTTGGTCATTAATAATCTATGAATTTCTTTACCGTTAAATAGTTACCTATCTTTGGCATGCAACAACATACACTATCAGCATATTATCAGCGGCGTCAAAACCCTTGAATTTTTCCTGAATATTTTGTTTTTCGCAATAACTTTAGAACCAGTGAAACATGTTATTAAATCAATCGTATATACCTCGACAATGTTAAATTATCATAATACGAACTAGAACTAGGTGGAACGCCGAGTTTTGTTTCCAGGCTGAAACTGGAGATGAATCGGAATCGGACGATGACAACGGTTTCGGTCTGTTTGACAATGGCGATCGTATGCAAGAAAATAGAAAAGAGGCGACACTGCGAAAGGCGACGTCTGATGTGAGTTTTAATGTCACTTTTCGCGTCAAGTTTGTTCAGATTTGATGAATGTAGTTAAGATTTTTATAGAGGTCATTGTAGTTTTTTTTTTCAGGAAAAGTATTAATATTGTTCAGGCTCAAATTAACGTTTTTGTGGTTTGACTTTGGATTTATTTTAAGTTTCGTTCCTTTCTTTTGTTTAAAGCAGGCAAACTCTGCAAACGAATAGCAAAAGTGTAAAGGATACGGAAACCTGATCGACTTATTTTCCCGAAAATGAGTTTTAGTTAACACATTTTCCAGAAAAATAAAAATAATAATGCATTGAGTCGTTTTCTAAAATTGGGTTAGTTTTAATCAAAAAGTATCAATCATAAATTCGAAAAGCTTTCAGGTCATCTTTTTTCTCTGAAACTTGAAAGTTGACGTGTTTTCGAAAAGCCAGTCAGTATTTTTTCCTTGTGTTCATTGACTCTTTGGCATGCAACAACTGATGCATTATTAGCGGCGCTAAAACCCTGATTTTCTCTTGAATGTTTTGTTTGCCGGAATAATCATTCAGACAGTTTTCAAGGCTTGACGAAGGCTTGACAGAAAGTCGTTAAAACTAATGAATTATTTTCTTCATTCAACAATCGTATTTACTGCGACAATGCTACCTTATCGCGATACGAACTAGAGGTAGGTGGAACATCTAGTTTTGTTTTCAGGATGAAAGTGAAGATGAATCGGAATCGGACGATGAAACATGTTTCGGTTCAATTGACAGTGGCGATCGCATGCAAGAAAAAAGTAAAGAGGTGACACTGCGAAAGGCGTCGCCTACAGTGAGTTGAAATGTCTCTTTTCACGTCAAGTTTGTTCAGAGTCAATGAACGTAGTTGAGAATTTTATATAGGTCTGGATAGTTTTTTCAGGAACGTGATCCACCTATTTTTGCGAAAATGAGTTTTAATAAACAGATTTCCCAGCGAAAAAAAATAATGTTTTGATCCGTATTCTCAATTTGGGTAGTTTTAAACCAAAAAAGTATCAAATTTAAATTGTTTAAGAAAATTAAAAAGCTTATCTGTTATCTCTAAGAAGTTATCTATTTTTCCTCTAAAACTCAAAAGTTGAGGTTTTTCAAAAATCCCTCAGTTTTTTTTTTCATTTCGTTCACTGGCTCTTCTCGAACTAGCTGTTGCCTGTGTATACTTAAAAAATTAAAATTAAATTTTAATGAGAACATCCAATGCCTTCTTACCCTGTGCTTAACTAGGGTGTTACTCCAGAGTGCTAGTTTTTTTTTCGAAGTAAACAAGTTTTGGCGTAGCAACGACCCGGAGACTCCAAATTAATTCAGCTCAACGGGTAGATTAGTAAACTAGTTGAAGATTTCAAAAGATCGAAATGGATAATGTTTCTAGAAAGGTTCGACCAACAAGAGGCAACAAGTAAACTCCGGTCAACTGTGAAAGGACTATCGAACACAATGGGTGTGTTTCTGAGTTTTGGCGTTTGTGTTCGATAGTCCTTTCACATTTGACCAGAGTTTACTTGTTGCCTCTCGTTGACCGAAACTTTCTAGAAACATTATCCATTTCGATCTTTTGAAATCATCAACTAGTTTTTTAATCTTCACGTTGAGCTCAATTATTTTGGAGTCTCCGGGTTTTTGCTATGCCAAAACTTGTTCACGTCGAAAAAAGACTAACACTCTGGAGCAACACCCTTGTTAAGCACAGGGGAAGAAGGCATTGGATGTTCTCATTAAATTTTATTTTTAACTTTCTAAGTATACACAGGCAAGAGCTAGTTCGAAAAGAGCCGGTGAACGAAACGAAAAAAAAAACTGACTGGTTTTTTAAAAAACCTCAACTTTTGAGTTTAAGAGGAAAAAGAGATAACTTTTTAGAGATAACAGATAAGCTTTTTAACTTTCTTAAACAATTTAAAATTGATACTTTTTCGATTTAAAACTACCCAAATTGACTACATATTGGACTTGATTGCATCTTCGAAGAATTTCAATAAAGCATTTCAATTGTTTCAATTCCAAGTTGTTTGATCTTGCGTATAACTTCCTTCTTTCTTTTTTCGATGTTGCTATGGTGTGTAGTGAACTGTTGGTTGCATTTGTCGCAGATCTTTTGTGTGTCATGTAGGAGTTCATTGTCAAAGATAATGGTTGTGTTTCTGAGTTTTGGCGTTTATCTTTGACAATGAACTCCTACATGACACACAAAAGATCTGCGACAAATGCAACCAACAGTTCACTACACACCATAGCAACATCAAAAAAGAAAAGAAGGAAGTTATACGCAAGATCAAACAACTTGTAATTGAAAGAATCGAATTGTTTTATTGAAATTCTTCGAAGATGCAACAAGTCCAATATGTAGAACAAATGGATTGGTCCTGACAACTTGCATCAATCCATTTACATTTTTTTTTAGTAAATACGCAGTCAAGTACTTCAGCCAACTGACAAGCCTCTCACTTAGTAATGCATTAATAGTTGGAAGGGTTATTTTCCTAGCTATTTTCCTTGTATTACTCTCTCCAGTAGCAAAACTTGTCGAGCGTTTGTTAGCACCGGATATTTTTTGCAACATAAACCTTCCAAGAATGCCAATGGCTTGAAAGAAAGATTAACCACTGCCCTGAACTGCATTTTTTTTTAAATTGGTCTGAACCAGGCTAAACCATGTCAGAGAACACTAGTGGTCGCCCTAGACTTGACAACTGGTACACTGTGATCTCATTATCAGCGGCGTCAAAACCCTGAATTTTTCTTGATTGTTTTGTTTTTTGGAATAACAATTCATAAGACTTTCATGGCTCGACCATGTAAGAAATTTAATCATGATGCACAGTATTTTCTCCGACAGAAAACCTTTAGAACCAATGAAACATGTTATTAAATCAATCGTATATACCTCGACAATGTTAAGTTATCATAATACGAACTAGAACTAGGTGGAACGCCGAGTTTTGTTTCCAGGGTGAAAGTGGAGATGAATCGGAATCGGATGATGACGACGGTTTCGGTCTGTTTGACAATGGCGATCGTATGCAAGAAATTAGAAAAGAGGTGACAGTGCTAAAGGCGACGTTTGAAGTGAGTTTTAATCTCGCTCTTCACGTCAAGTTTGTTCAGAGTCGATGAACGTAGTTAGGATTTTTATGTAAGTTATGATAGTTTTTTAGGAGAAGCAATAAATTTTGTTCAGGCTCAAATTTACGTTTTCGTGTTTTGACTTTGGAATTAATTTAACTTCGGTTCCTTTCTTTTGTTAAAAGGAAGGCATACTCTGCAAGCGAATAGCCAAAGTGAAAGGTTACGAAAACATGATAAACCTATTTTTCCGAAAATGATTTTTAGTTATCAGATTTCCCAGCAAAAAATAACGTATGGAGTCGTTTTCTGAAATTGGATTAGTGTTAATCAAAATGCATCAATCATAAGGTGTTAAAGAACTTCAGAAAGTTTTCAGGTCACCTTTTTTCTCTGACACTTAAAAGTTGACGTGTTTTCAAAAAGCCAGTCAGTATTTTTTTACTTGCGTTCATTGACACTTTGGCATGCAACAACTGATGCACTATCAGCACATTATCAACGGCGCTAAAAACCCTGATTTTCTCTTGAAAGTTTTGCTTGCCGGACAATGTTTACTAATATTTTATTAGTATTTACGCAAGTGAGCTTGCGAGCATTGTGTTATAATGCGAGTCAACTTTCGCTGCATAATTTTGGCAGTCCAATAGAATTAGTTTTCCGCTTTATCAGTGGCTAGTGTATCTATTTTTATTTATATTGGGTCATGTATCACAGTTGTGTAGCTTGTCGACTTGGATGATCCAGGCTTGTGGTGCAACTCCTGTAGAGAGCACTGATTCAGTTTTTAAATCTTTTTTGAGCTATTTCTCTGCGTTTTGTTGATTTCTTGCTTGCCTTTTTTGAGCTATTTCTTGGCTCCGCCTCTGTGTTTTTTGCTAGTGTATCTTGCTCGGGATTTCTGAGCTGGAATCTCGTTGCCTCAGAAGTTTTATATTGTGAAATTGATGTGGTATTTTTTAAATTACTTGCGAATCCTTTTTCCCCGTTTTTGGAGCTAGTTTTTTCCGAGTAGGCTTTGTTACTGCTTTGTAAGTTTTAGTATGTTGTTAATTTATCATTAAATTGTTTGACTTTACTTTTTGCTCAATGTGATTTTTTCTCAATCCAATTCGAGACAAACATATAAAAATTTTGCTAGATAAGTTTCTTGACATAATTTCAAAAAATATTCGACTTAGCGGCTTACGTCTTATCTTCTGTCGGCTAGTTTGCCGTGCTAATTTTATGTTGTATCGCAAACATAAAAAATAGCACGGCAAACTATTTCTATGTTGTATCTGTAAAAATCCAGCTCTCATGCTTGAAATGTCGAATGATATGTTTCTTGAATTATTGAGATATTGAATTTGGTAATATAATTGATTATGCTATATGATATTTTTGCTAATCAGAAGCGGGACTATTATTGACTTTCTACCTAGGATTTTCAACAAGTAAAACGTTTGTTGGTCTTGTCTGCTTTAAATGAAATTTGAATCTGGATTGATTACCATAAGTCAATTTGGTTCATATAAAACGTGAGGATCTTTTTATGCAACCTTGTTAAACCCTTGTTTACAGCGTGAAATGTTAAGTGCGGGGAGATACGAAGAAAAATGAGCCAAAAGTGTTAGAACAAGAGCTGTAGAACTTTTTCGGTGATTCAATCATTTCTGCTACTCTCATATGAACATTGCTATTTGTTGCCGGAACATTAAGTTCTGTTTTCAGTCTGACAGTGTGGAAGAATCAGTTGTGAGGAAAGATTTCACCCCCTACTCAGACCCACGCTGCCAATATGACCTCGACTTTGATCTGTTTGGGGACCTGGAAGCTGAATGTGCCCTCGAAGCTCTCCCTAGTCGAAAGAAAGTTTACTGTCGTAAAAACAAATTAAAAACAAATTGTATTGTTATCCAACGTTAGTCTATATTTGCCCCAAAACCGCCATCCATACCTAAACTGCGCAAAACTGATTAACAACTAGATTAAAAATACAATTAAGAAAAATTTTACAGCGAAAGCTAGATCAAATCTTCTGATCAGCCGTAGAAATCGATTTAGGGGGATATAATACCGGTTTTTCAGAATTTAACTTAGAAGGTAAAATAGAGTCTTTTCTATTATACGACCCAAACTTCATTGTTTTGATATAATGAAAACTGGATCATAATGCTTTATTATGATTGGATGAAATTAACAAATACGAAGGAAATCTGAACCTTAATTTCAAATACATTAGCTCAATTTACGTTTTTGTGATATTGGGCCACACAACAGGAAAGACGCGCAAAATAAGATGATCTAATAAATAAAATTTAAAAAAATCGAAACAGAATTATGAATAAAATGGGGCCTAGGAAATAGCTATTCCATGTGAAAGTTTTTATGAAGCACTATTTTTTGCGCGCTTGTTTGAAATGATTATTTTATGCGTAATCTTTTTTCAAAATTATTACAACGCAAAGGGGAAATAACTCTTAGGAGGCAAAGATAACACTTAGGAGGAGAGATACAAATTATCAACAAGCTGTTTTTCATAAAATGAGTAATTTTTCTATAATTTTTTCTTATTTGTTTCAGATCCCAAGAGTATGGATGGGCTGAATTTGAGGCCGAAGAAGAATCCGAATACCAGGCTACAAAAACATTGACGAAGTTCGTTTGATTTCTAAATGTTAATTTTTAATTTATCTTTCATTTAGGTCAGGTGTTTTTTTCCAGAGTTTTGTTCATGCTGATTTTTGAGTCTTCGCGGTCCCTTCTGATTTCTCTTCAAGTTCAGTGATATTGTTTTGCTAATTGGAGGGAAAAGTACACACTTCAATTACGAAAAAGCAAAAGGCGCGAGAAATGTGTTTCACTTGTAAGCTCGAAGTTCGGACTTTAGTTTTGAGGTTTCCCAGCGGATTAAGAAATTAGTTATCGATCCAGTTTTCCGAAGTTGTGTTGAGAAAAGGAAAAAAGTTCAATCATAAGAGAGTGTTGAATACAAATGATCTTTATTTTATTACATATTTTTGCTCCGAAATTTGAAAAAAATTAACAAAGTCCATTTTTTGGTTTCCTTGTTAATTAACACTTTTCCAATTATCTTACGGCTATGTTTTTCAACTATCTGACGGCTATATTTTTTTTAGTTGCACTTGATGCAGCATTTGAAAAGTCTCTAATGAACTTCCACTTGTGGATCCAGTGGCAACCGCCTTGTTGTTGTTGTTGTTGCCCTTCTGAGATCTATTCGTCGCTCGTTGTTGGGTCCAGGGTTGTGGGGAGTTTCAGGAATATTGTTGTCTTCTTCGGTTGCTTCCAGAGATCGGCTGGGGTTAAGTTCGTAGGATTTGCGATGCAGTCGAACAGGTGTATAGTTGTGTGGCTTGTTTGCTGGCAGTCCGGGCAAAGTTCGCTTACTGTCGGGTCAATTCTGTTCATGTACGAGTTCAGGAACTTTGAGTAGCCGGATCTGAGCTGTGCCAGTGTTCTTCTCGTTGTTCTTGGTAATTCGGTTTCTTCTTTGGCAATTTTTGGTGGATTGTGTCCGAGGACTGCTGGGTGTTCGTAGGTTTGTAAGGCGTCGCGTACCTCATTTGTGTGGATCGTTTTTAGCAGGTTTCTGTACTTCTTTTCGGTTAGAGGTCTATTGCTGTCGAGTAGAGGTTCAATGTATCTTTCTTCATATCGTGTTTGGAGGGTTTCTTTCATGAGTCTTGGTGGGTTCTTGGGTTCTTTCGTGAGTTGGTTTCCTGGGTGATCTGGCAAGTGGTTGGCGAGATGATGTTGTATCGTTCGCATTCTGAGGTGTCGTCTAACTGGTAGAACGGATGTTTCTTGGTGAAGGTGGTCTATGTGAGTCATGGCGTGGCATCCGGTGATTGTTCTCAGGGCGCTGTTTTGGACCTTCTGTAGTTTCTCGATGTTGCTTTCGGAGAGTGTGGGCGTTATCACAGCGGCGCCGTACTCAAGTTTAGTGCGAACAACCGCTTTGTAGGTCATGAGGAGTGTTTCCTTGTCGCTTCCCCAGTCAGTGCCGGCAAGCGCTTTCAGGGCGTTGTTGCGTTGAGAGCATTTCTTCGCAGTGTCTCTGCAATGGGCCCCGAAAGTGTGCATGGTGTCGAAAGTGATGCCGAGGATCTTCGCTTGGTTGTTCATTCTTATTTGTTCATTGTTTATCTTCACTTCAGGAACGGTTTTGTATTGGGCTGTCTGTGGTGTCATCAGCGTGACAAAACTCTTGTCAATGGAGATCTGGAGGTTTCGCTCTTCGAAGAAGTTCACTAGTTCTGCGAGGTACTCCGTTTGTTTTCCTGCCATTGCTGGTATGTCGGTGCCGAGAATGAGGGACGTGAAGTCGTCTGCGTAGGACTTGATCTTGATTTCGTCCGGAGGGCTAGGTGCGTCTGCGACGTAGTAGTTGAAAAGGAGTGGCGACAAAACTGATCCTTGTGGCACTCCAAACCGAACTATCCGTGCTTTTGAGAGAGAGTCGCGAAACAGTGTTCTTGCTTGTCGTCCTTGTAGGAAGTTCGCGAGCCATCTTTTCAGAGCACTGGGCAGACTGGTCTTGTTGATGAGGTCGAGGAGCTTGGAATGCTTAACCGTGTCGAAGGCTTTCGACAGGTCAATCGCGACAAGCAGAGTCCTGTCGGCTGGTTTCTTTCTGTTGAAGCCGTTGGAGATGGCTGTCGTGATGTCACAAAGAGCGGTGACCGTTGAGTGCTTGGACCGGAAGCCGTGTTGGTGACTGGCGAAGTGGAGGTGTTCGGTGATGAGAGGTTGGATGCACTTCTCCAGGATCTTCGAGGCTGGGCAAAGCAAGGAGACGGGTCTGTACGAGTTGCTGAGGCCTGCGTCTTTGCCTGGTTTCAGCAGCGGAATAATGACTGACGACTTCCAAATTGCTGGGATCTGGCATTTGCTGAGCGACAGGTTGAAGATCTTCGTGAGGTAGTTGATAGCATTTGGTCCGAGGTGTTTCATGTGAGTGGTCGAGATGTTGTCTGGGCCGAATGCTTTGGAGTTCTTCGCGTTCTGTATGGCAGTTTTTACTTGTTTGGAGGTAATGACTGGGGCGTCGTTGAGAGGTTGTTTCTTTATGTTTCTGTTTATTTTCCTGTTGTCTTTCTCGGTCTTGTGGTTCATTGGTCTTGCGTATTGTATATTGAAAGCGTTGCTCATACTGCTGGCGTCTTTAATCTGTTTTTCGTTGAATTTTATTCCTTGATTTGGAGGGGCACTTTGTTTCTTTCCTGTGATCGCGCCGATTGTCTTCCAGAGTTTGGTCACATTGGTTTTTCTGTCGAATGTTGCCACATGCTCTTTCCATTTCTCCATTCTTTGCTTGGAAATGAGGAAGTCTATCCTGGCGTTCAAGGTCGGAATGTCTTTGGAGTGAGGGTTGTTTCTTCTTGTTTCGTCTCTTTGCTTGATCAGGCGGGAGGCTGCTGGCGGAATGTTGGGCTTGGCTTTGGGAATGCGTCCGGAGGGAATGTTGTGAGCAGAAGCAGTGTTCAGAATCTTCCTGAAGACTTTCTCTCCGCTGTGGGTGTCAGATGGTTCTTCTTCGCTCAGAAAGAGTTCTTCTGTTTCCTGTTTGAAGGTATCCCAGTCGGCTCTGCTGAGGTTCACGAAGGTGCGCTTGGGTGCTCTGACTTCTGTGTCCCTCTTCAGTTCGATCTTCATGGGAAGGTGATCTGAGCCCAGGGTGATCTCTGTTTTCCAGGAGAGGTCGAGAAGCAGGTCGGAGGAGGCCATGCTGATGTCCGGCGAGGATGGCTGATCTCCTCGTGGGAGGCGAGTTGGGTGGTCCGTGTTGAGGACGCCGAAGGAGGAGTCTTCAATTTCTTCTGCCAGTTCGGAGCCACGGGTGTCTTCTTGGTTGCTGGAATGCCACAAGGAACTGTGTGCGTTCGCGTCTCCTACCAGGATTGTCTTGCTGCTGGAGAGGAGGTCTTGCAGGGACGCCTTGTAACCTTGAGGACAGCTGCTGGAGGGAGGGATGTAGTAGTTGATGATGTTCAATTCAACTTCGTTCATCTTGATGTTGACTCCCTGGACTTCTCTCGTGCCGTCGTTCTGCTGATCTATGTCCATGGTGTTGAAGTCGACAGTTTCGTGAATGAGGGTCATGAGTCCGCCACCTCCTTGACCACGATCACGTCGGATGGCAGTATAGCCAGGGAACTTCGGCGTCTTGTTCCGTTCTTGTAGTTTGGTCTCTTGAAGGGCGGCAACTGTGATCTTCCTTTCTTGTAGGTAGTTGCTGAGCTCTTTTGCTTTATTCTGTATGCCATTGCAGTTCAGTTGTAGTAGCTTGAACTTCACTTTCTGGGTTTGTCGGGGGGTCTCTGCAGTGCAGGGGGGGCATCTCCAGTCTGGCTGAGAGAGGTACTCGGCTGTCTTGCGCATGCCGCTGCATTTCAGGTGCATCCATTCTTTGCATTGGTGGCATCTGATTGTCTGTGTTTTCATCTGTCGGGAGCAGACTTTGCAGTTGACTTTTTGTGCCGGACCGGGGTTGGGTTCAATACCAGCCATCAGTAGTTGGAGCAGGAGAAGAGAGGCTGGCGTTGTCTTCTCCACTACCAAAAACCCGGGTTGAGTGACGAATAGGGTCCCTTTCTGGGAAGTCTGTCGCTGTTGCGGCAGGATTGGCACCATTTGCTCCAGTTGGAGACGAATCCACCACGAGTAGCCGGTTGCCACTGGATCCACAAGTGGAAGTTCATTAGAGACTTTTCAAATGCTGCATCAAGTGCAACTAAAAAAAAAAAAAAAAAAATATAGCCGTCAGATAGTTGAAAAACATAGCCGTAAGATAATTGGAAAAGTGTTAATTTTTTTTTTTTTTTTTTTTTTGGTTTCCTTGTTAATGAACAAAGTCCATTTTTTTTTTTTTTTTTTTTTGGTTTCCTTGTTAATGAACTTCCACTTCAATGAATTCTTCGCTCTTACGGTCAAAATTTTTTTGTGATGGGTAGGTAAACTCAATCAAATTAGAGCTGAGCCCAAAAATACGTCAGTCATGTGAATCAACCTATTATCATTTAAAAATGGTATTGCGATTTTCTGAGAATCGAAAATTATGCATTGCGATGTATCTGCGTTCTTGCTAATTTTCATTTAGCGATGTGAAGGTACTCAATTAGGTCTTGTCGTTTTTTAGATAAAATTTCTAGTGTACGCTTGAATATATTCTTTTGCGGTTCGACTTCATATTTTTTCAAGTACACTTCAAATTCAGTTGCCAAATTGTATGCAATATTCGCTTTCCAACAACTTACGGGATCACTTAAGTGTCAAGCACTGAAATTTTTTTTTAAATAAAGATGAAAAGATGAGATTTATTTTTTCTGCAATGTGATTTATTTTTTTGATTGAATTTCGAAAGTTGAATAAATCAATAAAAGTCCTTTTTCCATTTTTTTTCACCTCATTGACAATTTTCCAACTGTTGGCTATGTTGTGTCCTTTCGGAAATTCGCATGATTCAGGAATGTAAATCTTGCAAAAAGCCGAAAAGCATCATGGAGATTTAGACTACTCTCCAGGTTTGCGTTTTTCTAATTCAAGTCTCTTGAGTTGAAATATCAATTTAATGTAGTATTTAAAAGATTTGTCATTCATTTAAAATATTTTTTGTTGATTGACTGAAAACTCTAGTTTCATGTTAACTTAAGGTCAAATTTAACTTAAATTTCTTTGCCCTAGCCCGCTATGAGTGGAACGACGTTAATCTAGTCGCCCTTATGGGCGTGTTTTAGCTTGTATATGTAGATTGACAAAAACATTAGATATATCTTTTCTAATTTTCTGCCTTCGTAAATGCTAGTTATAAAATCATTGTTATGTTTTTAAGATGCCTTTTTCTTAGCGAAATTTTCAATGCTACGCAAACAGCACTAGGGTACTGAGAAAAATAGTATTCGTAAAGGTTTACTAAAGGATTCGTAAATTTTGAGTGATGATTTTTTAACACTTGCGATCGTAATGTTTTCGTAAAGGTTTAGTAAAGGATTCGTAAAGTTTGAGTGATGATTTCTTTTTACACTTGCGATCAGCGTTTTGTATTACAACGAACCTTTTTTCTATCCTAAATCGCAAATAAATTGTTCACTGAAATTATTCATCTATATGGAGATTTCACTGAAGCATTAGAAATTTCTTAGCGTGTCCTCTGCTTTATTTTGGCTAGTGTTTGTCATCAATTAAGCGTCCGTGGCTGTGTCGTTAGTGCGTCATATTTATTATCTCTCGGTCGCAGTAGGCCGTAGGTTTGAATCCGAGACCTAGCCGAATTTTTACTAATTTGAGGCTGGTTTCTGCTTATTCTTATTGCACTTTATAGAGCTGCTTTTTGTCGTGTTCTAGCTAGTGTTTGCGAAGCACAGCTTCGCCTCTGTGTGAATTCGCCATTCAAAAATATTTTCAAAGTGGAACCTAAATTACGCTTTCTGATTGTCGAATATGTTGTTCTGTTTGAGTCATTCTGTTTTCTGTTTCAGTCGCACGGAATATTGCAGCATGCAAAGCCAAATTCGCCAACGTATCGACATTCCTGAAAAAGAAAATCAAACCAAGTCTGCTAGCTTTTTCTGTCCACGTCATCTTGCAGAAGTGCCTTTCGTTCTTAAGGTTTGTTTTTTTTCGAACATTAATTCCAACCTCGCTTAATTTTCAATATTTTTCCACGTTTTAAAGCTTTTCGTTGTGTTTTAGATGTCTTCAGACATAGGTAGGTTTAACTTTTTGTGAATTCAAACTCTAAATAGTTAATACTGCTTCTGCTTGAAGGCTCAGATCGCTAAAAATCACTGAAAATGTCATGATTTGATTCATTCTTCAATATAGCTCTATTTACACAACCGAAGCGTGGTGTATTATTACGAAGTTTTTTTCAAACCTAAGTCGCAAACAAAAGCGCTCATTGGTGGCACTTTTGGTATTTTTCAATTTAATTTTTTTAAGCGTAGGCAATTTAATAGCATATGTTGAGGCTAGTGCAAGGTCTTGTCGAAATCAATAGGTATTATGAAAATGTATGGGATGTGATGTTTTTTGCGAGGCTCTGGAAAATTATTATTTTTTTTCGCAATTTTTTTTTCCCAAAAACAACTAACCCGATTTTCAAAAAAAAATGGTACCAATGAACAAACTGGCGGCTTTTTTTATGTGCCTGCATATTTTTCTAGTCCATATTTATTTTACTCCACGTTCTACGGCCTTCGATGGGACGGGCCTTCGACTTCTAAAATTTGGGACAGGTGTTTTTGACCTATTTGTTTTTTTTTGTTTTTGTGAAACATTAAATGCGCAAATATACGATGAACGTTTCAATCAAAATAACAAATCATAGAGATCCCCCTTCTTAGGCGGCTATTCCCTAATTTCGGTAGACAGAAAGTTATGGCCACAAACATACCCTTTTTTGACATTTTTAATTTGTTTTTAAATTTTGAGACTTTTCTCAAAAACTACCCTACCAAATCGGAGATTTAGGTTTGAATCGAATGAAAAAAAAATGTGAATCTTACCTGAGCGGCTATGCCTTATATTTTCAAAAAATTATGGCCTTAGAAAATGTCCAATTTTTTTTTGAAATTTTGCCAGTTTTCTTGGAAACTTATTCTGTTTTTTTAAACTCACCCGCTGATTCCGAGGTTGTTTCTTCGTTAATATCTTTCATCCTATTTTTAGAAAATCCGATAAGGTTATCGCAAAAATCCATTTTTGAAATTTTTACTGTTTTTTTTTCATGAAAGTTACCAGCTACATCTGATATTAAGGGTTCAATCTCAAAATCAGGGTGTGAAAGTCTTCTTGCATAAGATGCTATTCGCATGCTTTATTAGAAAAGTTAATGGATTTAGGAACAGTCAATTTTTACTATAAGATTCCAAGAAACGATCAAATATTGTAAAAAATGACTGTTCCTAAATCCATTCTTTCATTTTTTGGACAAATACCCAGACAAATCTGAGATAAAGAATTCAGTTGAAAGTTCGAATAGACGGCTACTCCACTACTTAAGAAACTACTCCACAAAAATTTTGAAACTTTGGAAATTACTCATTTCGTTATCAGTACAATCGAAGATTGAAATATTAAAACAGGTGCATCCAGCGTTAGCTGGGCCACTAGTTTACCTCCAACCGACCGTGGCGCAAATGTGAGGACGTGAAACTCCTAATCAACAGGTGGGAGATTCAAATCGGGAAGATTGAAATAATTTTTTTGGTCGAATTTTTGTTGCATAGCGTTGGCAATTTGATAAGATCCTGCAGCTGCTTTATTGATGGCTAGTGTAAGTAAAGTGGAGCAGATGTGAGAAGGTGTTACTCCTCATCTCAGCAAAAAAATTTCCGTAGGTGTATTTTTAATTTTTTCGTTTTCCTGATCTCGTTTTGTTTTGCCTGTTCAGAGCTCTTTTTTGAATTTTCCTGGCTTGTGTTTGCGAAGCGCTGCTCCGCCTCTGTTCAAATTGCATTTCTATTTTGTTACTCGGACCGACATGGATAGTTATAATAAATAACCTAAAGACCAAGTTGTAAAAAAATAGGCATGTTGAAACTTTGCTTGCCGGTTTTTTGTAACTACAGACACCAACGGAAAGTTTTGTGTTCAGTTTTGTTTTTTAAAAGAATCGATGAACGTAGTTCAGACTCTTTTATAGGTCGCTATGGTTTTCTTTTGTTAACTTTTGCTCAGGCCCAAATTTCGCAGCTTGAATTTTGATTTTTTTAAAAGCGCAGTTCATTTTTAAGTGCAGTATGCGAAAGTTTTTCTTTGGTATTTTGTTAAGTATTTCTTTAAGTTCAGTTCATTTTCTTTAGAACAGCAAAAGTATACAGGTGAAGAAAAGCGTGATTGGTTTTTGTTTCCGAAAATGGATTTAAGCTATCACATTTCCCAGCGAAATAAAAAAAGTACATACTGATCCAGTTTTCTCATTGGAATTGTTTTATGAAAAGATTATCAATCAAATATTATTCTAAAAATGTAAAAAGCCTGAAGAACATAATGAAGACTCTCATATAGGTCTTGATTTGTTTCTATTCATTTTTTTGTTTGAGGACAAGTCCTGAATTTGATTGAGGCTCCAAATTACTTTTTCGCTGTTCACACAAGCATAGCTTGTGTTATAGTATGAACTATCTTTTGCTTCCAAACAAGTCGCAAATATTGTTGCGATGAAGTGTTCATTTTGATCAATAACCAGCTTTAAGTGCAGCCAAAGCTATGGGTATTAACCCCGAATATTTTTCCAAAGTAACGGAAGTAACCAAAGTAACGGAATAATTGTGCTCGGGGTGGTTTTTTTCTGCAGACAAATTTCTACTTTTTAACTAGTCATTTTTTTCTTTTTTGACGAACTTTTTTTTTATTTATCATTTAAAAAGTGTTGTTGTCTTGAGCTTAAATTTGAAAAGATATTTCACTTGTGATCATTTGTCGTAAAATTATGGTGGTTTAAACATTGCCATTTTGGTCAATTTGGGAAAATTAATGCGCGATATAGTTGGCGCTATTAAGGCGTAAGCGGAGATTTAATCCGTCTTAGAAATTGTTCCAAATTGGTTGAGGGAAGCTTGGATGCCATAATTGATTTATTACTAGGAGTAAAATTTATCACTTTGTACTTTATATGGCGTGTCGGGAGATGATTTTCACAAAAGTCTCAAACTTAAGAAAAGATTTTTCATTTGATTCTGAATAACATTTAATTTTTTCATGTTATTACTAATCCATAGGCCTTACAAAATATTCGGAACGTTCAGGGCTTGGCCCTGATAAGAGCAGTCTTGTATTTTCGATTTTCGTAACGAAAGTAACGGAGTAATTATTCTCAGGGTGGTTTTTTTCCTTCAGACAAATTTCGACTTTTTAACTTCTGATGCGTTTGTCTGTTTTCCCATTGCGGCGGGGTTAGCAATGGTTCAGATCAGGGCATTCTGAATAGCATTCAAGCAATTAAATGGGGGATTCGATGGCAGTTTGTGGATTTGAGGCCTAAAGTATTCAGGTCTTGTTCAAGACAGTCGATTCAGCGTTTTTTAGGCCTTCCTGCTGGTCTTTTCCCTGGGAATGAAACATGGTCTGTTGCTTTTAGCTCATGGGCGTTTTCTCTTTGGTAAACATGGCCGTACCGTCGTATTGGCGACCGCACTTGTAGCTTGTCCTGATCAGCAAGACCTGTTATATTAATTACTGCTTCGTTGCTAACGCTGTCTTGATGAGTTACTCCGGTAATCCTACGAAGAGCTTTGAGCTTTATTATCAGCTTTCATAAGAGAGCTAGATTTTATCTCAGTCTGCGCCCGGGTTTCAGAGCAGTGCATCAGAATTGGACGGAGACAAGCTCCGTAGATATGACACCTCGTAATCAAATCAATATCTTTATTCAGCATCAGAGGTGCAATTTGCTGTCATATCGTCCAGAAAGATGCTATTCTGACCGATGATGCACATATTGCGTCACTTTCAGCAAAAATCATTTTACCCAGATATCAGAACTCTTTGACAGTTCTCAGGGCTTCAAATTGATTAATCGGTAGCATTCTTGTTTGAGTGATACCTGGACAAACTTAATTAGTATGATGCTTAAGTTTTTTTTCTCAGGCTTCTGTATTTTTATGCACCCATTGATTACAAGAGTTTCAGTGTATTGAATTGGCGTCGACTCCCTTCAAACATAAAGCACATGGATATTTTTCGGTTTTTTGAGTAATAGACTTTTGGCCTGAAATCAAATGCTTTGTCTTATTCACGTTGATTTTTAAACCGCGTTTTTGCAAAGACTTGTTCCAAGTGTTAAATTTCTCAATAGACTGGGATTCTGTTCTGAATATAGCATATCCCATGGTACCATGGAACGACAGTTTCTAGCTGCCTCATCCATTACGATTATCAATAATAATGGGCTAAGTACCGATCCTTGATGCACGCCTACTTTAAATTCGAAGTAATCACTGCATGCTTTGGGCCGGCTAACTCTGATTTTCGACTCGTTGTACAGACACATTATTAGTCGTACCAGATTTTCGGGAACTCTCCGTTGCCTCAGAGCCCATGGGATCAGTTACCTGGGAACACGGTCAAAGGCATTTTCGAGATCGACAAATATGTGATGCTGAGGCTTTTCCTTTTCGCAAACAGTTCCCTCAAATGTCTAATACAAAAATTGGCATCGGTAGTTTATCTACCACCCATAAAGCCAAATTGCGTGTCATCTAATTTTTTCAATTGTCTCAGACGCTTTTTAAATATTTTTTCGAATTTCTAATACTGTTTGAACGTGTGTTGCAGCGCAAAAGTAAATGCCTATAAAGAAATGAAAGTGCGAACGTAATTAAGAGTGAAAAGCTTGTACACAAACAGGTTTTTAGCCTAATTGTTGTGATAAACTTATTAAATAGGTTTTCTTTGACATTTTAAGACATTGGAGCGGGCACATTTTGGCACCCCACAAGGGACAGTTTAGTATTCCAGCAACTCAAGGGACATAGGTTTTGTATCCCAGCCTTCAGGTCGACACCAGTACAGATTCGCAGTAGACACGATCGGGACAGTTACTAACGGAAATTGTCATAGTAAAGGAAGCCGTCAGGGACAGTAAGTAACGGAAGCTGTCATATTCATTGAGGGACTACCCACTAGTTGGCCGAATAGGCGAAGATCCGACATGGCCGAATGTCCTCGAAAGCAAAACTTGGCCGAATACCCAGTTGGCCGAAAGTCTTCAAAAGCGAAAGTTGGCCGAATACTCTGTTGGCCGTGCGTCCAAGTGGCCGAATTTCGTGCATTTGGCCGATGATCCTGTAAGCCGACAGACGGGGGAGCAGACCCAAAGAGGCCTTTTGCGGTCTTGATTGGGGATTTTTGGTCGACATGCAGCTGTGTTTTTCTCGTTAACCGAAGTTCTTAGATTTTTTTTCACGGTGAACGCCAATCTAAATAAAACTTTTAAAACTTGGTGCTATAATCTTGATAATGATGTTCTATATTATATTTCGTCTCAAAGCAAGCCCCGAGCTGTAATTTTTTCTCGATACCGAAAGTTTTGGACTGGTTTGGTTAATAATTTTTCTCGAAACTCAAACATTTGAATCAGTTTAGTTAAACCGAAATGCGTGCAATTGGTACATAGACTAGATTTTTCTGGATACGAAAAGTTTTGGATAAAAAGTTTAGGGATTGAAAATCTTTGTTATCGGAATATAGACAACAGGTACTTGACTAAAAACTGAACCGGTGTATGACTCGAACCCGATGACAGAAATATACAAAAAGTTTTGTGAAAAGTCCCAATTGTTGCCAAGAAATCCAAAAGTACACCCAGAACTCAGCAAAACTTTGCTGTAGTTGATATCAAACCCGAGTTAAGTGGTCTGGTTTTGTAATATCAGGCCAATTAAGTTGAATTTTTTTAGCCTCCGATTTTTTCCGTGTGTGTTGTTGGAATTCAACCGTTTTGCCTCATTCCCCACCATTCCTTGTAATAATAAAAGTATACCCCGTTCCGCTCGTAAGTACGTATCGATTAAGTGGTTTCGCTGTTATCTTAAGAGGTCTGGTAAGGTGACTTTAAGTAGGTTAAGTTGCCTTTTTGCAGCCTCAGCTTTTTTCCGTGTGTTGTTGGAATTCAACCAACCTACTTAATTGCCAACCCATGGTAATCCATCGTGATTTAGTGGGCACATGGTGTTTATACTGGGAGCTAGTTCGTTACATCACGCGCTTCGCATACTTCCTGCAACTTCGCAAAAGCGCGTGAAAGATACTTGCTTCACAAAAGCCGGTTGAAATTCGAACTTCAATGCTACAGACTTACAGAAGGCTATTCAGTTCTATCTGCATCACTTCCTATCGTGACGAACCGACCTGGTCTTTTGGGACGACGCCATAAATAATTTCACAAGTAAGCATGGCATACCAAAAACCGTAGACTAAATACTGGTTAACTCACAAACTTGTTATTACGGTACACGCATAACATTTGTGCAATCGTTTGCTTCCAACAGAGCGGTACTGAGAATAAAGAGAAGCAATTGGTTGGAACAGGCATTCTCGTGCTTAACGTGGTGAAAGACTTCATTGCTCAGCGTGAGGCTAAGGACCAGGTACTCATTGAAAAGTACAAGGAGCTTCAACTGCCCCCTCGTTTTGAGTTAAAGACTCTCCTCTTTTTAAGGCGTTACAGTGCTAGCCTCACCGCCCTCAAAACAAGAAGCGGAAACGTTTACCCCACAAGAACCGTAAAGTGATACAAAACAGGCTTAATGCAATGGTTTTGGGTGTTCAAGTGATTACCTCTGAAAGTTAATATTTTTGTGATACCACTCTCGTAGTTTAATGAGGACTGCAAGGTTTCAAGCTCTTGTTTTAATAAGCAAGTAAAATATGAGGCCTTTACATTGACAGCTTCAATGTTCATTGTCTCCGTTTTAACTAACTTGCAAGTTGTCTCCTTTTTCGTCTCCGATACATCGTTCCGCTCGTATATTGAGCCCCTCTCGAGCTTGGCAGTCGGTTTTTGAGCTTCATTGAACTTAAAAGTTTTCCACTCACAATTATCTTAGCAAAGTTAAACAATCAACTACTACGAAACTCAAAATCTTTTTGTTTACGATTAATTTTGCAAAGATAATTGTGAGTGCAAATCTTTTAGGTTCAATGAAACTCAATTGGATTTCGAGTTTCGTAGTAGTTAATTGTTTTTGTCAAATAAAGTATTCTCTAAAGCTTCGTTTGTAATCTATAAAGCATCGAGCAAATAGGTTTGGTAAAAGCATGGAAGAAAAGATACATAAAAGATCAATTAATGTGTTTGAAAACAGAGACTCCACAGAAAATGATCTTTACAAATGTCATGCTCTTGAACTGTTCAAAATAACAGCCGCTCGACAAAAAATGAGACAATTATCATAAAATGTGAGACTTTGATGGAACAGGCAGTTGAAATAAAATAGGAAATCATTCAATTAGCTGGAAAAGCACAAGACCCCAAAAAATGCATACGCAAACAAAATCTTTGGCTCCACAAATTAGCAAAGACTAATAGTAAGATTTTATAGGAGGCTGAAATTAAAAAAAAAATTGGGTTTAGAAAACGCAGAAGTAATTGAGACTGAAGTAAAGACTCAAAAAGATGAAGTAGCGGGCGACATTAGGTTTAAATTTTTGCTTCAAACTGGAGGGACTGGGTCTGAAAGGTCGAATGTAATTTCGAAGAAATCAATCCGATGATTCAAGCTGACGCTTTGGTCGGTAAATGACCGCATTGGAGTCTAAAAACTCTGGTGAGTTGAATTGTACTCTCCCACTGATTAAATTGCGGCAAAAAGAACTTGCCTGACAGGCTAGCGTAGCTTTGAAGTTAAAACAGTAACAAAATGAATTGGAGTTTGAAGATTTGCAAATGGAAGATGACCTATCTGACGTTAGTGAAAACTTTAAAAGGACGGGCTGAACAAAAGTCATTCTTCAACCTGATGAAAAAAGGGAGGATGATCGTACTGGTCCGTACTTAATTCTATCAAAGATCATACTTCTGCTGTCTCGGCCACCCATTTCGAAAAACACAGCTAGCATTGAACGCACAACGGGCTTGTCGTCAATTCCTGAGTTTCATGGAAACTCCGTTCATGGTTTCACTACTCGGCATGGGGCATCTTGTGATTCTGGTTTGCATATCAGTAATCATCTAGCCTCTCGGCAAAGTTGCCCGAAATCAAGTTTCTCTTTACATAGTAATGATTCATCCGTTTCTGTTCCACTTTGTCCAGCACCTCACTCATGTCGGTGTTAATTATCAACCACCTTCCACTTGCTCTCTGGTTACCTTCCGAACTCCGGGTCACATTTTGTCAACACAATTATGCAGGTTCTGATGAATCAATTTCCTATTAGGCACACAGTTCCGTGAACTGTCGCGCCTTCTGTGCCGCAGGTCTCGTGGAACCATCCGATAACCCATAATTTGTCAACAGCGCATTCACATAATTACCGGATGCACAATCAGCAGCCTTTTTGTGCACCATAGTGCGCCGAGATTAGCATGCCTGTTGAGGCCAATTTGAGCAATTCAGCTTGTTTTTTGACCCGCAAACACCTGTGATGACACCCCATCAAAACGCCAATGCGAATGTGTTTTCTTTGGCAACTCCGATTTGTCCTACTTTAAGCGGGATCATGGCGTATGCCAGTGGTCGTACCGTATTTTACACTCCTCAAGCTGATCTTCAAAGTACAAACCCCGCTTATTAAAAAGTTTTTTAACCCTCTTGTTGGTTCCCATATGAACATCCGGTTGAGAACTGATTTCTGCTCGTGAACCGCAAAGATCCTCTCCCAGAATTCCAATTAGGTCAAATTTACGGTAACGCTCTGAACTGGCACGAATGGCATGGACAACTCACCTCCACTATCCATTCCGCCCTTCTATGTGATGACGAGAAATTAACTTACTTGAAGACCCTCATAGCCAAAGCGGCAATCGCCGACTACAGTTATAGTGGAGTTTTATACAATTTTGCAGTTGGTACCTTGCAGAGAAAATTTGGCTATTCTCGTACTATTGTTGGAGCTCATTTGTATAAGTTAACCAGTTTTCTTTCCCTCAAAATGCAGTTCAAAGAATGTCATCAGTTTCTCCTCCGCCGTCTCAGGACTGGTTGCAGTCTTTCAACCGTTGTTTATTCATGATTACCTCAAAGCGTGACTCTTGTGAACCAAGCTGTCGGCAAGCTCCCGCCAAATTTGAAAGAAGCTTGGTAAATGCATACCCTTAGACATAATTGGCAGAGTGTCAGCCTCATAGATTTCAATAATTGGTTAAAAGAGAAAGCGGAGGGCCACGAAAAATTGCGCGCTATTGGTTCTAGAGCTAAAACGGAAGAAACAGTTCAACCGAAAACAAAAAAGTGTTTGAATCAAACGATAAAAGCCCTAGCGATCACAAAAGCAAGCCTAATTATCCGCCGTGCCTGCTGTGTAAAGGAAAGCATGCCCTTTGGTCTTTCGCTGCGTTCAAGGAAAAGAAAGCCACTCAGCGAGTCAAATTTGTAGCTGAACAAAAACTTTGCTTCGCATGCCTCAATGGAAACCATTTTTTTCCTTAATTGCACGAAGGCAAAGAAATGTCCAAAACAGGACTGCTGTGAGGGCACGCACAATGCCCTTCATCACGGTGCTGAAAGAATTTTTGCACCAAAGAAAAAAAAACATCAAGTAAACCCAATGAGTCCAAACCGAAAGATGTTAAACATGTTTCCACTCATGGCGCTGTGGGGTGGGAAAATTACAAAGAAATACCAAAAGTACTTGCCAATTGCAACAGTTGGAGTATCTTCAGATAGCAACAGTGCCCAGACGTTGGTTCTTTGCGACGGAGTATCTGCACATTCTTGGGTCTCCGCATCTCAAGGTAGCCGCTTAAAGTTCGTTGTTAAGCCAGTCCACTTTTCCATCAGTGGTTTCAATGCCGTAAAAGTAATCGAAACTCAACGAGTCAAATTCAATGTCTCTTCTGAACCGAATAATGCCGATTTATCTTTCACTAAGAAGGTTTATGTGAAAGACAACATTCACCTTGGTACAGAATGTATCAATATACCTGAGTTGCAGGATAAATATCCTCAATTAGATTAGCTTCTATAAAGCCCTTACAACACAACTAAGAAGATGTAGAAGTTGTCATAAGACATGATTACTAACACGCCGTTCGTCCGGTTGGGTTTTTCTAAGGAGAAGACTCTAACCGATAGGTTGGTTCATTAGTGGTTCGATACCGCTGTCCGCAGGTTAACTTATTCGTGCTTTAAGTGTGTTGTTGAAGGTTATTCTTTAACTGACCAGATAAAATCTTGGTATGAATTAGAATCTTATGGAGCCTTTAATTAAGTCGATGCACGTTCTGCCGCGGATAAACGCGCTTTACTCATCCTAAATTCCAAAAAATTTCATGATGGTGAAAGATACATTGTGCCTATGCTTTGGACTGATAGCATTGTCAGCCGACCTTATAATTATTATCCATCGCTTGCTCATATTGAAATTTTGGAGCGAAGGTCAAGTAAAGACCCAGAGCTACGCGAAAGATATGCAGATACAATAAGGGAGGACATCAAGAAAGGTCATGTGGTTACCGTCGAGCCTCATGATCCATGTTCCCGAACAGATAGTGAGTGGTATACTCCGCACCACCCAGTTATAATTCCGAATCAGCCGGGCAAGGTGTGCCGACTCCGTAACGGGGCTGCTAAGTTTCTTGGCACATCTTTAAATCAATCCCTATTGGTGGGTCTAGGATTACTCCAAAACCTGATATCCGTACTATTCCGACCGCACAAGTATGCCGTCTATGCAAATATAGGGTATGTTTCTCCAGGTAGGATTCCGCGAACAAGATCAATCTTTGCTTCGTTTTTTTTTGTGGTGGGACGATCCCACTTCGGATGTGGTAGTCTATCAGTACACTCGCCATGTATTTGGTGCCTATGACTCGATAACTTGCGCCAATTACGCTTTGCATAAAACAGCAAGTGATAAAATTTCTACATATCCTGAAGCAGCATCAGTGGTTGCCGAAAAGTTTTATATGGACGATTACTTGTATTCGTTCGAAAACATAGAGCAAGCACTCTTAAGTTAGTCGCGATTTTTATGAAATCATCCCCCCGCACACCAATTAAAGTACAAATGAATATATGTCGCTCATTGTAACAAATCAATTATGGCAAATAAGTTTCTTGCAACCAATTTGGAACGATTTCTAAGACGAAATAAATCTCCGCTTACGCGTTAATAGCGCGAAATATATCGCGCGTTAATTGTACAAATTGACCAAAATGGCAATCTTTAAACCCTCTTAATTTTACGGAAAATGATCACAGGTGAAAGATTTTTTCAAATATAAGCTCAGGACAATGATATCTTTTGAACGATAAGAAAAATCCGTCCCTAATGGCTAGTTAAAAAGTCGAAATTTGTCTGAAGAAAAAAAAACCCACCCAGAGCACAAATATTCCGTTACATTCGCATCGAAAGTCGGAACAACAGGACTGCTCGTATCAGGGCGAAGGCTTGAATGTTTCGACTGCCTTTTAAGGTATATGGAGCAGTAGTAACATAAAAAAATTAAATGCAATAAAATCAAATGAAGAAAATTCTCAAATTTGAAACTTTTTTTATGAAATCATCACCCCACACACCAATTAAAGTACAAATGAATAGATGTCGCTCATTGTAACAAATCAATTATGGCAAATAAGTTTCTTTCAACCAATTTGGAACGATTTCTAAGACGAAATAAATCTCCGCTTACGCGTTAATAGCGCGAATTATATCGCGCGTTATTTATCCAAATTGGTCAAAATGGCAATCTTTACACCCTTATAACTTTACGAAAAATGATCACAGGTGAAATATCTTTTCAAATTTACGCTCAAGACAATGATAAAATTATCTTTTGATTGATAAAAAAATTTCCGTCCATAATGGCTAGTTAAAAAGTCGAAATTTGTCTGAAGACAAAAAAACCCACCTCGAGCACAAATGTTCCGTTACTTTCGTATCGAAAGTCGGAACAACAAGACTGCTCGTATCGGGGCGAAGCCCTGAATGTTCCGACTGCCTTTTAAGGTATATGGAGCAGTAGTAACATAAAAAAATTGAATGCAATAAAATAAATTGAAAAAAAAATTCTTAAATTTGAAAAATTTTTTATGAAATCATCCACCCACACGATAAATAAAGTACAAAAGAATAGATTTCGCTCATTGTAACAAATTAATTATGGCAAAAAAGCTTCTTTCAACCAATTTGGAACGATTTCTAAGCCGGATTAAATCTCGCTTACGCGTTGATAGCGCGAAATATATCGCGCGTTAATTGTCGCAAATTGACCAAAATGGCAATCTTTAAACCCCCATAACTTTACGAAAAAAGATCACAGGTGAAATATTATTTCAAATTTATGCCCAAGACAGCAATAGCTTCCGAATGATATAAGAAAATTTTGTCAAAATTGGCTAGTTAAAAAGTTGAAATTTGTCTGAAAAAAATCCACCCCGAGCACAAATATTCCGTTACTTTCGTATCGAAAGTCGGAATATTGAAGATGACATTTTCGAGTACAACTAGTGAAAATTGACTAGTGAAAATTGACTAGTGAAAATCTACAATTTTTCTGTTGGGTTGAATGATTTGGAATTTTTTGTCTGTTTGTGTGCAGAGGAGGTGAAGATGAAGGCCCTCGAGGTGCTGGAAAAGAAGATTGATGAGATAGACTGGAACTCCCTCTGTGTTATCGATCACATCTGTGAGAAGATCGAGCTTGCAGCAACAGAGTGCGAACTCTGTAGCTCCAAGCTTTCCACTGTCATCGAGTACTTTATCCTTATTGGCGGAAAGTCACTCGGTAAGTGTGAAAATATGAAGTTCTTCGAGATGGGTTAGGAAGATCACAGTAAAAACATTTGCTGCAATGTATGCATAATTTCTAGGGATGAAAATATAAGGAATATGTTCTTGATACTTTCGAAGAATCGGTTGAAGCCATACTCAATAACTTTCAAAGCTGACTAAATAACTTTTATTTAGGCTGAGATTAGCCTGTGGGACTAAATGGGTTTTCGACAACATGTGATTATTTTAAACTCAAACATCATCAGAGCTCAAGAGTTCAAAAAAATGTTCTATTTGGCGAGTCATGGTGATGTTATAGGGAAGAAAGGCTTTTTCATGGCAGTGATTCTGGTTTTGGCTCAGCTACACCTGCAAGAGTATTGTCAGAAGAACGGCGAAGATGACGACACGAAAGCAGCAGAAGAGCTGCTGAGAGTTTTGTTCCACAAGTAAGATCAAGTTGGCATTTTTTGACCAACCCTTCATCAATGGTACCTCGGTAAGAGTTTCCACCAGCTGTAAATAAAAAAAGATAACGATGAAGCAGTCTACGTGCATTTTACGACATATGTCACATTCCGGTAAAGCGCACTAGACGAATTTCCCCTTAAAGCGCACTAAATTTACAATTTCCCCTTTTTGCAATAAGGAGCGGCGAATAGATAATAAGACCCATTTTTTAAACTGGTTACCAGAAAAATAAACAGCAGCCCAATAATTTGATTCCGAGATCTTGAATTTACAATGGCTTGTGGATATCAAATTAAATGATCAGGCAGCGCTATTCTAATAAATTAAGGACACAACACGCAAAAAGTATGAGGAATATTGTAACGAGTTTACGGATAAACTTTTTGCGGCGTAAATCGTAGATGCCGCTTGACAATGGCAATACGTTTTGGATGATTAAGATTCCAATTTCAGATCGTAGTTTAGTTGTTTCATTATAAAAAATGATTTCTTTTTGATTTTTGAGTTTTGAGTCTTTCAGTTTATTAATTTGGCGGCATATTCATGTCGAAAATGTGGCAAAATTAGGTTCGGCAAAGAATAAAGTTCAAATGTCGTAGACATAGCCGGGCCCATTTGCAGGTTGCAAATTAGAAAATTAATCGTTGAAGCTGATGGTACGTCGTCGTTGATTGTAATGGTCATTTAGTTGTTAGCTGTCGTTGATCATGTTGGTCATCTAGTTGTTACTGTGGTCCAATACTCGCGAGAGTTTGACTGCTGGTCGGTGTAGAACCCCCCCTGCTAGTTTTAATTTCGCAGGGCCAAAGACCTCGAGGCGTTAGGTCTTCCAGTATCCATACAAGGTCTCCTTGCTGAAGATTTTCCACTTGCTTGTCCATTTCGTTCGGGTCGTCAAGGTTGGCAAGTATTCTTTGAGGTATCTGTTCCAGAACTGTTGACTCAAGGCTTGAGCTTGTTTCCAAGTTCTCTTGTCTGTTGTGTGGCGAGGGAGAAACAATCCGGGAGGAAAATTGTTTGTTGGTCGTCCTAGTAGAAGGTGATTGGGTGTAAGGGGCTCGTCGTCGGTTGGCTCTGATGAGACGTGGGTTAGCGGGCGAGAATTCATCATAGCTTCAACCTCGCACGTGAAGGTTGACAGAGTTTCGTCGTCCAGTGTCCGTGTTCCAATGACTTTGTAGAAGGCAATCTTAAATGTTTTTATGAGGCGTTCCCATGATCCACCAAAGTGACGAGCTGCAGGTGGGTTGAACTTCCAGGTTATTCCAAGTAATTGGCATTGATTGTTGAAGTCGTTGCTGTGTTGAATCTCAGAAAGGCTTTTCCGTTGTCAGATAAGATGACCCTGGGTTTACCGCGTCTAGCGATGAAACGGCGTATGGCTTGTAGAGTTAAGTTTGTGTCGATTTGCTGGAATATTTCTGAGTGAACTGCTCGCGTGACGAGGCAGGTGAAGAAGAGAACGTATCGCTTACTGTACTCGTCGTTGTTCCGCGTGGCAAAGGGTCCAAAGAAGTCAATTCCTGTTGAGTAGAAGGGGTAACTGTTTTCGGATAAAGGGAGTCGTTGTAGGGGTAGATCTGCCATCAGAGGTTTCACTGGTTCCTGTCGAAGGCGTCGGCAAGGTATGCATTGTCGAATAGTTTTCTTCAGATGCTTGTGTGATCTTATGATCCAAAAGTCCTGGTGAAGAATGCTTCGGGTGTGTTCCATTCCACAGTGGGAATTTATTTCGTGTGTTTGCTTCATGAAGAGTTGTATTGGGTAGTTTTCTGCGTTCAGAATGACTGGATGTCGGCTGCAAAGTAGAAGCGGGGCTTTCTGTAGTCGTCCTTTGGCACGTAAGTATCCGTGATCGTCGATGAAGGGGCAAAGAGGTTGTAGAGGGCTGCTGGTTGGAATGTCAGATTTCTTTGTCAGGCATGCTATTTCCTTGGGGACTGATTGATTCTGTGAGTGTTTAATGATCCATGCGAATCCTAAGGTGAGGTGTTGAAGTGAGAGGCTCTGGCGTGTCTTCCTTTTGATGTTTTCTGCGAAGAGAAGAACATATGAAGTAACTCTGAGTGCTCTTGTCCAAGTGCTAAATCGGTTGAAGTCGATTACTGATGTTGGCGGTTGTGGGTTGTTGTCTGTCAGATGAATATCGGCTGTAGGTTGTGTTGGCGGGTGATTAGGGCAATCTGATGATGGTCTTAACAAGAAGTCTGGTCCTTTGATCCATCGTGAATCGGTAGTCATGTCACATGCTTTGTAACCACGTGTTCCGTCGTCTGCAGGGTTGTCTTTGCTGGGCACGTATCTTCAGTCTAGTGAAGATGTTGAGTCCATGATGAAATTCAGGCGGTTGGCAATGAAGATCCGGTGTTGTTGATTCGGCGATTTTTTCCAATGAAGAACTGTTGTACTATCTGTCCATAGTGTCGTACTGTCGATTCGTATGTCATGTTGTTCTTTGATGAAACGAGACAGTTTAGCTCCGTTAGTGGCGACTTGAAGCTCGACATTTGGAATTGTCATTCTGCTGATGGGTGCTACTCGGGCTTTTCCAATGACGAACTTAAGTTCCGTTGTGTCGTCGTCGTATCTGATTCTGAGGTAAGCAACTGATGCTAAGGCAAGTTCGGAGGCGTCGCTGAATACATGGAGAACTTAAGTTTCCAGTATCTTCGTTTTTGGTTTGAAGTAAATCCGGGGCAGGCAGATGTCGTTGAATTGGCTTCGCTTGTCTATCCAATCGTTAAGCTCTGTTAAGTGCTTCAGGTTTAGAGGTTTGTCCCATTGAGGTCCATTACTCCAGGTAAGTTGAAGTGATTGTCGTAGTCGAATTGTCAGTGGCATCGTAATTCCAAGCGGGTTAAAGATTGAAGAAGCAAACTTAATAGTTTGCGCTGCGTTAAGTCCTTCTTGTCAATGGCGTGAAACTTCTTTGCTTCCACAAGAAAAACGTCCGTGTCTGGTTTCCATTTCACTCCAAGAACTCTTTCGAGGGGTCGTTCCTTCCTGGTGAGGCTGTCGCTGTTTTCCAAGTGGTTCTCGTTGACTGTTGTGAGGAATTGTTGAGAGTTTGAGGTCCATTTTGTGAGGTTGAAACCTCCAAGGCTGAACATCTTTTGAAGGTCGTTCATTAACTGTGTCGCTTCCGTCGGTGTTGAAACGGCTTTGTATAGGTCGTCCATGTATATGTTGCGTTTTGTGATTTGCTCCAAGGCTGGATATTTGTCGGCATTGTCCTTCGCACATTGTCGAGTGGCGTAGCAGGCAACACATGGTGAGTCGGTAGCTCCGAAGATGTGGCGGGTGTATTGGAAGGTTGCGGGTTGGCCCGTTTTGTCCTTCCACAGAAATCGCAAATACGGCTGGTCCTCTGGGCTCACGAAGACCTGCATGAACATTGCTTCAATGTCGGCAGAAATAGCGATTTGGTCCTCGCGAAATCGCATAACGATTCCAGTAAGGTTTGTGAGGAGGTCTGGTCCAGTTAGTAGGTTGCTGTAGAGTGATACTCCTTTGTAGATGCTCGATGCATTAAGGACTCGGCGTACCTTGCCAGGTTTATTGATGGTTGTCACTGGATGATGAGGAAGGTACCATTTTCCTGTTAAGTCTTCGTGGGAATCATCAACTTTGACTATGAAACCTTTCTGCAAGTCGGTGTCGATGGTCTCTTGATATTTCTGTGCCATCTCGGTGTTTCTCTTCAGTCGTTGGAGAAGGCTGTCGAGCTGCTTCTGGGCAAGCCATCTATTGTTTGGCAGTTGTTGTCCACGTTTCCCAAGCATTCCAACTTCGTAGTGTCCATTGGGCAAGCGGGTTGTTGAAGATTCCAAGATGCGGCGAGCTTCCTTGTCGTCTGTTGAGAGGCTGCGTTGATCAGTTGAAATCCCTTCGGCGTCCATTTTCATCCATTCAGCTACTTGGCGAAACAGTGTATCGTCTGTCGTGAAGTTGATTGTGTTGATGTCGTTGGGTGTCGCTGCATTGTCTCGTCCACAGAGAGACCATCCAAGTGGCGTTTTCCATCCAATAGGCACATTTTGTTTTGAATGGTTTACTTCTGAAGGTGTCACGAGCTCGGCGAAATCGCATCCAATGATGATTCCGATTTCTTTCGAGGGCAGTGTGGCTATCCGAATGTGTTGAAGCGGCTCGTTCCTTTGGCAGATTGAGTTGACGAGTTCAGGGTTGAATTGGGAAAGGTTCCAATCCATTATGACGTCGATGTCATTTAGTTGAAATGGCTGCTTTTGCTGGTTGTAGGGTCCAATCGCGATCGTCATCTTTGTAGAAGCTGTGTCTGATGATGTCAGTGCTTGGTTTAGCTGGATGGTGTCGTCTAATTGCTGATCTGGTTTGAGTTGGAGGGCGATTGATGATTTAAGCAATGTCAGTTTGCTTCCACAATCAAGCATTGCATAGGCATGAACTCTATGTTTGCCATGAGAGATCGTTATTGGCAGGGTCGGAATGTGGCGAGTTGATTTCCTTCTGCTTATGCTGGTGCTGCAGTTGGTGGTGTCGTCATGTTGTCTGGAGTTCCGGTTGGCTGTCTCCCTCTGTGTCGTCGAGTTGTAGGTGCTGCTGTTGTGCAGAAGTGTGTGGTGTTTCTTACTGCATCCGTCCGTCCGGCAGGTTTGCGTTGATTGACAGTCGGCGAAGTTGTGGGGGCTGAGGCAGTTGAAACATAGTTGTAGGTCCCTGGCATGCTGTAATCTGTCCTTTGGGTTCATTGCGATGAAGTGTTGGCATTTTCCAAGGTACTGGCAATTGCGTTTCTCCGGGCAAAAATCTCGTCGTTGATCCTTTTGTCCAGATTTATGTTGCTGCTGGCTGCGTTGCTGGTTCCGGTTGTTCTGATTGGCGCGGTGATCCGATGGTCCATGTTGGTGGGTGTGACCGTTGGATGATGATCCTTGAGTGTTGCTGCTGTTGTAGTTGTTGCTGCTGCTGCTGTTTCTGGTGTTGTTGTTGTTGCTGTTGCTCGGCAAATCGCTGCATGCTTCGGCGTAAATGTTGAACCAATTGGTGAGGTCGATGAGTGATGGTTGTCTGATGTTGCATTGCAGATTGTATCTAGTCCATTCTAGTCGGCAAGGGGTAGGCAGTTTTGACAAAACTGTTTGGACATTTGTCGTAGAGTGTAGATCGTGCTGGAATCCAAGTGTCGTGATTGTATCGACCATTGTCTGTAGGAAGTTGGCGAGGTCCTTGTAGCTTCTGGTATGTCGTAGATTGGGGCCGCTGATGGCGTCGAGTCGTCGAAGGAAGGATGTAACTATCTTCGTCGGGTTACCAAAATCGTTTTCCAGTCGCTGAAGGGCTGCGTCATACATTGCTCCATTGCATCCATATCCTCGGATGAGAGATTTGGCATCTCCGGATACAAGTTTCTGCAGATGTGTCATCTTTTCCGAGTTTTTCATGTCGGTGCTGTTGATGGTTGCGTTGAACAGTCCTATCCAATCTAACCATTGTTCAGGTTCTCCGTCGAATATGAATGGTTTGACAATGGGCACTGATTTCCTGAATGTCTTCGAGATCGTTTGATGATAGTTGTGGTCTGTCGGTGCTGTTCCAAGGTTGGTCGGAATCGGAAAATAAGTCGGCTGGTTCTGATGTGCTGCATGTTGATGGACTGCATGTTGATGAGGGGGAGGTCGGTTGATATTTGGGTGAGTTGTTCCTGTTGGTCCCCTGCAGCCTGCATGAGTGAAGGCTGTTGTTGATGATGTCGGCATGTTCGTAGGGTTGTATGCTGTCGTGGTTCCCAGAAACCCCTCCTGGTACGATCGTATGGCAGGTTGTGTACACTGGTGAGTCAGGGTCGGCTGGCTGGAGGTCCAATTTGTTGCTGTTCGTTGATCTCCTTGGTTTGTTGGCAGTAGTGCTGGTTGTGCTGGTATCGGTACTCCGTTGATGTTTGTGATACCCTTAGCTGTCGTCTGGTGTCCACTGAACACGTTGGTGGGGGGATGATTGGTTGAATTCTGATTTCCAATCGTCAAGACGGGTCTAAAGGCGCTATTCGGATTATGTGTCCTCTGTTGTTGGCTTGAAGGCTGGTTCTGTTGTTGGCTTGAAGGCTGGTTCTGTTGTTGGCTTGAAGGCTGGTATAGTCGATGTGGGGGGCTAGCTGTCTGGGGAGCAAGAATTGGGTGTGTGATTTGCTGTCCAATCATTTGACTCTGAGCTGCTTTTGAAGTTGCTGTCGGAAGAAATATTGGCGCTGAAACATTTCTTTGTCGGGTTGCTGGTGCGTTCATCTGCTGATTGAAAACTTGGATTTGAGTTCCAGGGTTGGAGTGCGGTGACGTTTCATGAAGTTGAGCTTCTGAGTTCGGTCTTTGTCCCACTGTTGCTGTCAATTGCTGATTGTCGATTTGGAGTTGAGTTCCATTGTTCAATTCTATAGTCGTTCCTTGAAGTTGAGCTTCTGGGTGGTTTCGGTTGAAAGTTTGAACTTTGTGACAAGTCGGCGTTCGGCTGCTGCAATGAGAGGTTTGACTGAGGATGGAGGTGAGTTCCATGGGCAGATTGAGTTCCAAGAGTTTCTGTTTGTTGTTGATGAATACGATGATCCAAGGTATTGGCGTCGCTGTTAGATCCGGGGCGAAGTAGGAGTCCTGAATTGTCCTGGGTGGAATTTGATCTGTGGTTTGAAGTAGCGTTTAAGATTGCTGGCAATCCTGAAAATTGTGGCAAATCGTTCGGGGTGTCCTGGTCCATGGTAACGTTTTGTGTAGTGGTACTACGGGTTAAACTTTCCGTTTGGCTTCGAAGGGGAAGATTTTCCAAGGCTTGTCGTATTATTGAAGGCGTCGAGACGTTGCTGGCTACTCGTGATGAGTTTAAAGAAGACGTGGCAGTGTTGTTGAGGGTACGCTCGTATCGTTTTGATCGTAGTTGGATCGTTCGGTACAAAACTTTCAAAGTTTTCAATCGTTCAATGATTGAGTCTTGCTGGTCCGTTCCGGTGCGTATTATCTTGACTGTTTCGTTATTGGCATCGTCAAGCAAGCTCTTCAATTCCGTTAAGAAATCGTTTATGATCTGTACTTCGTCGGAATCGCTTATGGCTTGGTTAATTGCTTTTGCTAAAATTTCTACGTCTGTTTCTATGACTTTATAAACAGCATCATAGGTTGAATTCATTTTTAATTGACTATGTCTCCTAAACTTAATTCACGTTTTGACGTGTCAGACAAAAATTCCTTTGATTACATGGAGTGTAAGGAGACTCTGAGAGTCTGAGACGCTGGTGGTAAGGAGTACAAGGAGTGTAATTCCTTTGATTACATGGAACCCTCGTAATTGTATTGTAACAAAAAAAATGATTTTGAGTTTTTTTTCTTTGGAACTTACAATCCAAAAAAAAGAAAAAAAAAGTAAACAATATGATTGGTTAGTATAAGGATGGATTCGTTGATTTTTCAAACAAAAAAAATTTGGTTTCGGTTTCTTTTTTTAAAAACTATTGTGCGCCAATGACAATGGCAATACGTTTTGGATGATTAAGATTCCAATTTCAGATCGTAGTTTAGTTGTTTCCTTTTAAATGATTTCTTTTTGATTTTTGAGTTTCGAGTCTTTCAGTTTACTAATTTGGCGGCATATTCATGTCGAAAATGTGGCAAAATTAGGTTCGGCAAAGAATAAAGTTCAAATGTCGTAGACACCGCTTTTGACTCTTTATTAGTCGTTGTTTTGGGACACATTTTGAACCTTCGATAAAAAAAGGTGCTTGTTAGTTGCTGTAACTGAAATTGGGTGATTTGATACGTCTTATTCAACAAATCAATCTGAAGGTCAATAGGATACTCCTGAATCAACCATCTTTCTGGTATTTTTTGCAAAAAATTTTCTGCTGACGGAATAACAGACAGGGTTGGGCGACAATCTGTAACTAGCCTCGATTTGAAACAGGCAAAAATCAGAAAGGAATTGGCTTCTATCTCACCGTTGACTAGTAGCCGGGCTGTTCTCCGTTTGCTACATTAGGCATGCGTGAGTCTGGTCGCTTAGTATACTTTACTTCATGTAAAACATGAAATAAAGCGTTACTAGTTGTCGCTTTTTCTGAATTGTCGCTCTTAGAAGCGTTTCGGCTCACGAGTTGACAGCCGAAAGCGTCCATTATCTGAAGCTAATAAGGAAAAGCCTGAGATCACTGCTATTCAAGAAAAAGAATTTTTTTGGAAATTGTTCAGTCCGACTATATCGGCTATAATGAGATTTTGATCGAGTTTTTAAAATTGGACTTGCTTTTTTTAATGGTTAAACCACTCAACAGTTTTTGTCGTTTAGATATTGGTATGTCTACTCCAGTTTCAATCTGGGATCCGACTGGCCAAGTGCCGTTCAAAACATCAAGATCAAGTGCGCCACCATGCAACAGCACTCCTATGATGAAGCCAACTCTCACTTTATCATTTAGACGTCCATTGAATTCTTGATTTAAAATAGCTCAACAAGACTCCTATGATGAAGCCAACTCTCACTTTATCATTTAGACTTCCATTTAATTCTTGATTTAAAATAGCTGATAGAAATAAATTCATTTAGATAGACTTACAATACAAAATCTAATCTAACAATTTGAAATGGTTTGTCTCTTATTGATTAATCATTGTGAAATAAATGAGTGTTCGTGTCAACATAACCAGAAAAAATGTTCTTGAGGCAGCGGAAATAAACAGGTTTCATAATTATACATGGTTAATTTGACGCAGACAAAAATTTGAAATGAAGAAAATGCTTATTTTTATTGCGATTTAACGTTTAGAACATTAATTATAAAACTTCACCATTTGTTTTTCTGAGACCCAGTTAGCAAGAAGAGTGACCTAAATTTTTTGTCACGCGGCCACTCTTAAATATGCCTTTCTTAATTCACAAGTTTTCAGCCGAGTTCAATACGCAGGTAACAGACACGGGGCAAATAAGTTACACTTTTTTTGTAAGTTTGTTCGTGCTTCAGTTTGCAAAATTAACGAACGTTTTTCATAGCAGATATACTGGGCGGCTTGAGAACGCATCATAATTATCTGAGTCAGATGAATATCGGCTGTAGGTTGTGTTGGCGGGTGATTAGGGCAATCTGATGATAATCTTAACAAGAAGTCTGGTCCTTTGATCCATCGTGAATCGGTAGTCATGTCACATGCTTTGTAACCACGTGTTCCGTCGTCTGCAGGGTTGTCTTTGCTGGGCACGTATCTTCAGTCTAGTGAAGATGTTGAGTCCATGATGAAATTCAGGCGGTTGGCAATGAAGATCCGGTGTTGTTGATTCGGCGATTTTTTCCAATGAAGAACTGTTGTACTATCTGTCCATAGTGTCGTACTGTCGATTCGTATGTCATGTTGTTCTTTGATGAAACGAGACAGTTTAGCTCCGTTAGTGGCGACTTGAAGCTCGACATTTGGAATTGTCATTCTGCTGATGGGTGCTACTCGGGCTTTTCCAATGACGAACTTAAGTTCCGTTGTGTCGTCGTCGTATCTGATTCTGAGGTAAGCAACTGATGCTAAGGCAAGTTCGGAGGCGTCGCTGAATACATGGAATTGGGTTTCCAGTATCTTCGTTTTTGGTTTGAAGTAAATCCGGGGCAGGCAGATGTCGTTGAATTGGCTTCGCTTGTCTATCCAATCGTTAAGCTCTGTTAAGTGCTTCAGGTTTAGAGGTTTGTCCCATTGAGGTCCATTACTCCAGGCAAGTTGAAGTGATTGTCGTAGTCGAATTGTCAGTGGCATCGTAATTCCAAGCGGGTTAAAGATTGAAGAAGCAAACTTCAATAGTTTGCGCTGCGTTAAGTCCTTCTTGTCAATGGCGTGAAACTTCTTTGCTTCCACAAGAAAAACGTCCGTGTCTGGTTTCCATTTCACTCCAAGAACTCTTTCGAGGGGTCGTTCCTTCCTGGTGAGGCTGTCGCTGTTTTCCAAGTGGTTCTCGTTGACTGTTGTGAGGAATTGTTGAGAGTTTGAGGTCCATTTTGTGAGGTTGAAACCTCCAAGGCTGAACATCTTTTGAAGTCGTTCATTAACTGTGTCGCTTCCGTCGGTGTTGAAACGGCTTTGTATAGGTCGTCCATGTATATGTTGCGTTTTGTGATTTGCTCCAAGGCTGGATATTTGTCGGCATTGTCCTTCGCACATTGTCGAGTGGCGTAGCAGGCAACACATGGTGAGTCGGTAGCTCCGAAGATGTGGCGGGTGTATTGGAAGGTTGCGGGTTGGCCCGTTTTGTCCTTCCACAGAAATCGCAAATACGGCTGGTCCTCTGGGCTCACGAAGACCTGCATGAACATTGCTTCAATGTCGGCAGAAATAGCGATTTGGTCCTCGCGAAATCGCATAACGATTCCAGTAAGGTTTGTGAGGAGGTCTGGTCCAGTTAGTAGGTTGCTGTAGAGTGATACTCCTTTGTAGATGCTCGATGCATTAAGGACTCGGCGTACCTTGCCAGGTTTATTGATGTTTGTCACTGGATGATGAGGAAGGTACCATTTTCCTGTTAAGTCTTCGTGGGAATCATCAACTTTGACTATGAAACCTTTCTGCAAGTCGGTGTCGATGGTCTCTTGATATTTCTGTGCCATCTCGGTGTTTCTCTTCAGTCATTGGAGAAGGTTGTCGAGCTGCTTCTGGGCAAGCCATCTATTGTTTGGCAGTTGTTGTCCACGTTTCCCAAGCATTCCAACTTCGTAGTGTCCATTGGGCAAGCGGGTTGTTGAAGATTCCAAGATGCGGCGAGCTTCCTTGTCGTCTGTTGAGAGGCTGCGTTGATCAGTTGAAATCCCTTCGGCGTCCATTTTCATCCATTCAGCTACTTGGCGAAACAGTGTATCGTCTGTCGTGAAGTTGATTGTGTTGATGTCGTTGGGTGTCGCTGCATTGTCTCGTCCACAGAGAGACCATCCAAGTGGCGTTTTCCATCCAATAGGCACATTTTGTTTTGAATGGTTTACTTCTGAAGGTGTCACGAGCTCGGCGAAATCGCATCCAATGATGATTCCGATTTCTTTCGAGGGCAGTGTGGCTATCCGAATGTGTTGAAGCGGCTCGTTCCTTTGGCAGATTGAGTTGACGAGTTCAGGGTTGAATTGGGAAAGGTTCCAATCCATTATGACGTCGATGTCATTTAGTTGAAATGGCTGCTTTTGCTGGTTGTAGGGTCCAATCGCGATCGTCATCTTTGTAGAAGCTGTGTCTGATGATGTCAGTGCTTGGTTTAGCTGGATGGTGTCGTCTAATTGCTGATCTGGTTTGAGTTGGAGGGCGATTGATGATTTAAGCAATGTCAGTTTGCTTCCACAATCAAGCATTGCATAGGCATGAACTCTATGTTTGCCATGAGAGATCGTTATTGGCAGGGTCGGAATGTGGCGAGTTGATTTCCTTCTGCTTATGCTGGTGCTGCAGTTGGTGGTGTCGTCATGTTGTCTGGAGTTCCGGTTGGCTGTCTCCCTCTGTGTCATCGAGTTGTAGGTGCTGATGTTGTGCAGAAGTGTGTGGTGTTTCTTACTGCATCCGTCCGTCCGGCAGGTTTGCGTTGATTGACAGTCGGCGAAGTTGTGGGGGCTGAGGCAGTTGAAACATAGTTGTAGGTCCCTGGCATGCTGTAATCTGTCCTTTGGGTTCATTGCGATGAAGTGTTGGCATTTTCCAAGGTACTGGCAATTGCGTTTCTCCGGGCAAAAATCTCGTCGTTGATCCTTTTGTCCAGATTTATGTTGCTGCTGGCTGCGTTGCTGGTTCCGGTTGTTCTGATTGGCGCGGTGATCCGATGGTCCATGTTGGTGGGTGTGACCGTTGGATGATGATCCTTGAGTGTTGCTGCTGTTGTAGTTGTTGCTGCTGCTGCTGTTTCTGGTGTTGTTGTTGTTGCTGTTGCTCGGCAAATCGCTGCATGCTTCGGCGTAAATGTTGAACCAATTGGTGAGGTCGATGAGTGATGGTTGTCTGATGTTGCATTGCAGATTGTATCTAGTCCATTCTAGTCGGCAAGGGGTAGGCAGTTTTGACAAAACTGTTTGGACATTTGTCGTAGAGTGTAGATCGTGCTGGAATCCAAGTGTCGTGATTGTATCGACCATTGTCTGTAGGAAGTTGGCGAGGTCCTTGTAGCTTCTGGTATGTCGTAGATTGGGGCCGCTGATGGCGTCGAGTCGTCGAAGGAAGGATGTAACTATCTTCGTCGGGTTACCAAAATCGTTTTCCAGTCGCTGAAGGGCTGCGTCATACATTGCTCCATTGCATCCATATCCTCGGATGAGAGATTTGGCATCTCCGGATACAAGTTTCTGCAGATGTGTCATCTTTTCCGAGTTTTTCATGTCGGTGCTGTTGATGGTTGCGTTGAACAGTCCTATCCAATCTAACCATTGTTCAGGTTCTCCGTCGAATATGAATGGTTTGACAATGGGCACTGATTTCCTGAATGTCTTCGAGATCGTTTGATGATAGTTGTGGTCTGTCGGTGCTGTTCCAAGGTTGGTCGGAATCGGAAAATAAGTCGGCTGGTTCTGATGTGCTGCATGTTGATGGACTGCATGTTGATGAGGGGGAGGTCGGTTGATATTTGGGTGAGTTGTTCCTGTTGGTCCCCTGCAGCCTGCATGAGTGAAGGCTGTTGTTGATGATGTCGGCATGTTCGTAGGGTTGTATGCTGTCGTGGTTCCCAGAAACCCCTCCTGGTACGATCGTATGGCAGGTTGTGTACACTGGTGAGTCAGGGTCGGCTGGCTGGAGGTCCAATTTGTTGCTGTTCGTTGATCTCCTTGGTTTGTTGGCAGTAGTGCTGGTTGTGCTGGTATCGGTACTCCGTTGATGTTTGTGATACCCTTAGCTGTCGTCTGGTGTCCACTGAACACGTTGGTGGGGGGATGATTGGTTGAATTCTGATTTCCAATCGTCAAGATGGGTCTAAAGGCGCTATTCGGATTATGTGTCCTCTGTTGTTGGCTTGAAGGCTGGTTCTGTTGTTGGCTTGAAGGCTGGTTCTGTTGTTGGCTTGAAGGCTGGTATAGTCGATGTGGGGGGCTAGCTGTCTGGGGAGCAAGAATTGGGTGTGTGATTTGCTGTCCAATCATTTGACTCTGAGCTGCTTTTGAAGTTGCTGTCGGAAGAAATATTGGCGCTGAAACATTTCTTTGTCGGGTTGCTGGTGCGTTCATCTGCTGATTGAAAACTTGGATTTGAGTTCCAGGGTTGGAGTGCGGTGACGTTTCATGAAGTTGAGCTTCTGAGTTCGGTCTTTGTCCCACTGTTGCTGTCAATTGCTGATTGTCGATTTGGAGTTGAGTTCCATTGTTCAATTCTATAGTCGTTCCTTGAAGTTGAGCTTCTGGGTGGTTTCGGTTGAAAGTTTGAACTTTGTGACAAGTCGGCGTTCGGCTGCTGCAATGAGAGGTTTGACTGAGGATGGAGGTGAGTTCCATGGGCAGATTGAGTTCCAAGAGTTTCTGTTTGTTGTTGATGAATACGATGATCCAAGGTATTGGCGTCGCTGTTAGATCCGGGGCGAAGTAGGAGTCCTGAATTGTCCTGGGTGGAATTTGATCTGTGGTTTGAAGTAGCGTTTAAGATTGCTGGCAATCCTGAAAATTGTGGCAAATCGTTCGGGGTGTCCTGGTCCATGGTAACGTTTTGTGTAGTGGTACTACGGGTTAAACTTTCCGTTTGGCTTCGAAGGGGAAGATTTTCCAAGGCTTGTCGTATTATTGAAGGCGTCGAGACGTTGCTGGCTACTCGTGATGAGTTTAAAGAAGCGTAGTTGGAT